TCCTTATAACTAAATAACTAATAACTAAAAGACTAAATGGACTTGGAGAAATAAATAGACTAAAATATATAATATTAGCTTTTGAATGAGTATGTAACACTAGTTACATTAGTTTAGGTGTTTAACATATAGGGTTACTTTAACCTTATTTGAATTGTTTGATCGTTCTTAAGAATTACAATTTGATAAAAACTTTACATAAATTTCTTAAATAAATCAGAAAAAGTTAGATTACGGCCCACAACTTGAATCCCCTAGTCCATTGACATTTTCAAAGAATCACCACTCAAATAATTGTATACTAATATATAAATAAATCATTTCTCTCCTGCACCAATAGCCTGTTAATATTCCAGAATAAAGCATTAAGGATAGTAGTTACTGTATGAGCCGAAGTTCATCAAAGGCAGAGCTCTAAAACTATTTGGCAATATAGACAAGTATAAAAACTGAACACGAGTTAACCTAAAAAACTAGGTAAAGCTAAGAAACGTCGGCGGCAGTTGCACATTAGTAAGAATACTTATATGAAACTGTCGGCACAGATAAAATCACGTATTTTTATTTTTGAACTTTTGCCAGCGCTGATAACAGGCGCTTACAACTACAAGCGACCCGACAACAAGCGTTCATTGCGTCCAGTTCGATTGTTTTTAAGGAGTAAATTATGGCTTGTCGATTCTTGATAATTGGCAACAAAAACAAGGGTTCTTTATGTTTTCACTCTACATAACAAAATATAAAATAGTTTAAAATGCTAAAATATTTTATAAATATAATCTAATCATTATAAATTAATTATTAAAACTTATTAAAATTGAATTGAAATAATTAAATCAAATATTTGCAAAGAGACTTACAGCTGATATTAAGTATCAAAATTAAACTCGTAGTGTTCGACTAAATACGTGCGCAATAAATTCTTCGGAAATATATTTTAGTTCAGTCAAATTTAAACAAATTTGCGCTCACACTTTTTATATCAGATAATACCATATACGAGTAACGTAGAGAAATTAATCCGAGTAACGACGCACAGCCCCTTGAAAGCAATTCTTAATATGTAAAAGCTTTTACTCGTTTAAACTTCAAATTTTCCATCCGGTTAACAGCCAAGGCTGATTTAATACATTTTTTTAGATTTTTTTTTTTGCTTATTTGCATTAAACATAGCTGAAAGGAAATAAAATTATCATTATGAGAGTCTTTTTCAATATACTTATTTTTCAATTATGTTAAGGTGGTATTTTTAATCAGAAAAAAAAAATTTAATTGTCATTATATTATATTACTTTATAATAGCTACATTCTGACGTTTCGACGTGCGACAAACACATGTCTTTAATGTGTATGTGAAGGAACATCACTACTCTCTTGATCCATCAGACTAGATATCAAGTTTCTAATCATCTAATAGAATGCAGAAATTAATGATACTAATGCGATACGCAATAAACGGTCTGTTGAAAAATTTCATTTGAAACTCTACCGTAAATTCCAATCATCCTTCAAAATTGTGTGTAGGAAAAAATAGGAACAAAATTTAAAATATTCACAAATTTAAAATTATTAAATTTAAATTATTGAAAAAATATATTCGAAAAATACAAATTTTTAAATTGAGTCTAATAAAGAAAGTGTAAGTACCAAGCATATTGATTTCCTAAAGTTTTTGGTTGTTAACAAGTTTATGTTTATTAATGCATAATTGTTTTTAAATATAATTTTGTTGGCACCGCTTTCATTTAATTCTTTTTTAATTTACATAAAATAAAAAAAAAATATTAATACCTAAATATATTTAATAAAGGCTACATAAGTACATAAGTCATACACATAGGTCTTACGTAAGACCTGATCTGCTAGTTAGGTCTTGCAAAAATGAGGCCAATATATAAACAAAAGATATGTTTTTTTCCTCAATTCGGAATAATATATAATAATATATAATATAATATATAAATATGTTATATATTCAATAATTCTTTACCTTTTTATTCATCAATTGGTGTTAAATCCCATCCATAATATTAATAATTTGCACACTAGTGTTTATTTGTATTTGTATATTGATTGCCACTGATTCTGAAATAACAAAACATTTGTTAATCAAATTTTAGTTAGGCTGTCACTAAAATATTCTTTAATAATTTAAGTTTCTAAGGTTAACAATACAAAACTATTACGCACCTACATATATTAATGTGAATGCACCTTTGTTAATAAACAATCAACAGTATTTCAAAATCGCTTCAATCATAATCAATAGTTTATTCTAGTATTAATCTAAATTAAAAGTAAGAGTTATAAGAACAAGATCATAATAAAGAATATTATTTGGATATATTGAGCTTACCTTAATCCTTACTTTTTAGCTCCTGTATATCCATGCGCTTTATAAAGGCAATACCCAATTCCAGTTGAAATAACACATATAATTTCTAGCAACATTTGGCCCATAAATATCATATCAATCTTATATATCATACATTTTTTAGTTGCAACTATAATTAAAAATAAAATATAATTAGAAGAAAGGAAAATAACTTGATTTCGATGAAATTTAAACAGATTTATTAGACTCTCTAGCAAATAAAAAATAGTCTAAAATACAACCACAGCTTAGGTCGTCAATGTCGTCTATTGACACAAAATATGTTTGTTATAATTTTAATAGTTCATCCAGCTACATTTAAACTTAAACCTCTTACTTATTAGGAATATATATCTTACTTTTAATATATTATATGCGAAATATAAAATAACGAAAAAATTCAATATATATTCAATATAATATTCAATAATCTATGTTGTGCATTCCTTCCCAGCATCATTGTGGAAACTTAGGAAAGTAAGAAACAATGAAGCTCCCTCTATTACTACTTAACTTTGGTCTCCAGGAGGTTGTTTTCTGAAATACTTCAATAGTTTATTCAATAGTTTATAAATGGCCCTAAATTTTATATTTTTAAGTTTTTTAAAAATAATGTGGCACAAAATCATCTATTTTTTAATAAGTATATCTGTTTACCTGTTTTGGATTCGAGAAGAAATAAGTTATTATGGAAGTAAATACAAAAGATCTGTTATGTGTAGTACACTTAAGAATATATAATAAATGATTTATTTAGTTTATGTATTTTTTCGTTACAGTTCACCATAAGTTAAATACTAGCAACATTAATAAATGCAAGAAGTGCAAGAAACCGACATATACGGTTCTATTCCGTTTTTGTTAAGTTAAGTTTTGGTTAATCGCGTACTCATAAGTTTGATCCTTAATAGTGCCAAGGATATTGTGTTGTTTCTTTCTTGACCACTAGCGAAATGCTTTTACAGGTGTTTACTATGCGAACCGATATTTCTTTAAACGATTTATATTCTTAAAAATATATTTCATTAATGTTGTGATAATCTTAAATTGATATAAAAATGTTTTTGTATCGCAACATATACAAAACAAAAGAAAATTATCTTAGCTAGTTTAAGCATCATAAAAATTAATATTATTATTACTACTAACTTTATTATATAAATATTGTTATATTTATATGATGATATTAGATTAATAATAATATTATTATATTAATATCAATAATCTCACATTATTTATATTAATTTGAATATAGTAAAATCTTGAATGATTAATAATAAGTAAAACTAAATGTATGTTGCAGGCGTGTTCTCCATTATCGAATTGATGCGATCCATGTGTATTAAAATATGTATGTTTCCATACATACATTAAATAAAAGCAATTTCATTTGAAATTATATTAAACACTTTTATATTCTTAATTGTTTTAATTCTAATAAATAAATATATATTAAAGTTCGTTTTAATATATGTACACCAACACATACTCTGAGAATTTAAACGGTTGCTACTAATTTTAAGTTATATTCCAGTAAATTCCAACAAAAAAATTTCTTTTTGTTTCTTACCATGCTCTAAATTATAAAATGGGTTTCGTTAAAAAAAAATTATTGCCGCTGGGTAAAATATATACATGTATATAAGGATCTTGGTTTATTTAAACGTAAATAACTGCCACTAACAATTAGCACACAAAATCAATGTAATATTACCAAACAAAATAAAGTTTGTTTTAATTTACGCAATTTTCTCAGAACCAAAACCATTACCGTCCGCTCACTTATAAGCTATTTTTGTTACTAACCGCGCAGCAATCAGCATGTACTTCTACAACTGTTTATTGGTTGTCCTGTGACAAACAAACTGTCGACAGTTGGTTTGCGAATTTAATGAAAATTTGACTTGACATCGCCAGATTGCCAGATGCAAAAATAATAAATATAATTAGATGTTTGGTCTCTTTTAAATTTTTTGTTGGTTATGTGATTGCTTTACTAGACAAAACAATATGTTAATAAATTTTTATTTGAAAATCTTTTACCTTATCGGTTTTCAATCGTACACAGATTTGTTCTTGTTAAAATTCATGAATGTATATAAACATGCTTTAAAGAAACGAATTATTGCAAAACGAATTAATATAGGTATGCTTATAATATATCACGCAGACATTTTTTAAAAATGATTTTAGGTGCTTTTGGCAGCTTTAAAGTGTAGCGCAAATTGACATTACTGTTGCAATGTGTCATATGTTATGTTTTCGTGAAAAGCAAATCGAAAAAGTGTAAGTACAAAGCGCATATTGATTTCTTAAAGTTTATAGTTGTGGACAAGTTTATGTCCACAAAGTTGGCACCGCTTTCACTTAATTATTCTTTAATTTACATAAAATAAAAAAAAATAATAATACCTAAATATATTTAATAAGGGCTACATAAGTCATGACTTCGAATTTTGAGCACACACACATAGGTATTACGAAAGACCTAATCTGCTAGTTAGTCTTGCAGAAATGAGGTCAATATATAAACAAAAGATATGTTTTTTTCCTCAATTCGGAATAATATATAATAATATATAATATAATGTATAAATATGTTATATATTCAATAATTCTTTACCTTTTTATTCATCAATTGGTGTTAAATCCCATCCATAATATTAATAATTTGCACACTAGTGTTTATTTGTATTTGTATATTGATTGCCACTGATTCTGGATTAACAAAACATTTGTCAATCAAATTTTAGTTAGGCTGTCACTAAAATATTTTTTAATAATTTAAGTTTCTAAGGTTAGCAATACAAAACTATTACGCACCTATATTAATGTGAATGCACCTTTGTTAATAAACAATCAACAGTATTTCAAAATCGCTTCAATCATAATCAATAGTTTCTTCTAGTATTAATCTAAATTAAAAGTAAGAGTTATAAGAACAAGATCATAATAAAGAATATTATTTGGATGTATTCCGCTTACCTTAGTCCTTACTTTTTAGCTCCTGTATATCCATGTGTTTTATAAAGGCAATACCCAATTCCAGTTGAAATAACACATATAATTTCTAGCAACATTTGGCCCATAAATATCATATTAATCTTATATATCATACATTTTTTAGTTGTAACTATAATTAAAAATAAAATATAATTAGAAGAAAGGAAATTAACTTGATTTCGATGAAATTTAAACAAATTTATTAGACTCTCTAGCAAATAAAAAATAGTCTAAAATACAACCACAGCTTAGGTCGTCAATGTCGTCTATTGACACAAAATATGTTTGTTATAATTTTAATAGTTCATCCAGCTACATTTAAACTTAAACCTCTTACTTATTAGGAATATATATCTTACTTTTAATATATTATATGCGAAATATAAAATAACGAAAAAATTCAATATATATTCAATAATCTATGTTGTGCATTGCTTCCCAGCATCATTGTGGAAACTTAGGAAAGTAAGAAACAATGAAGCTCCCTCTATTACTACTTAACTTTGGTCTCCAGGAGGTTGTTTTCTGAAATACTTCAATAGTTAACTGGACTGATAATTGTGCAGAACGAAAAATCTGTTAAATTACTTAAAAAATGGCCCTAAATTTTATATTTTTAAATTTTTTAAAAGTAATGTGGCACAAAATCATCTATTTTTTAATAAGTATATCTGTTAACCTGTTTTGGATTCAAGAAGAAATAAGTTATTATGGAAGTATGGTAAATACAAAAGATCTATTATGTGTAGTACACTTAAGAATATATAATAAATGATTTATTTAATTTATGTATTTATTCGTTACAGTTCACCATAAGTTAAATACTAGCAACATTACTAAATGCAAGAAGTGCAAGAAACCGATGTATACGGTTCTATTCCGCTCTTGTCATTATCTCCCAAAACAACTTAAATTTATTTTCAGTTAAGTTTTGGTTAATCGCGTACTCATAAGTTTGATCCTTAATAGTGCCAAGGATATTGTTTTGTATTTTTCTTGACCACTAGCGAAATGCTTTTACAGGTGTTTACTATGCGAACCGATATTTCTTTAAACGATTTATATTCTTAAAAATATATTTCATTAATGTTGTGATAATCTTAAATTGATATAAAAATGTTTTTGTATCGCAACATATACAAAACAAAAGAAAATTATCTTAGCTAGTTTAAGCATCATAAAAATTAATATTATTATTACTACTAACTTTATTATATAAATATTGTTATATTTATATGATGATATTAGATTAATAATAATATTATTATATTAATATCAATAATCTCACATTATTTATATTAATTTGAATATAGTAAAATCTTGAATGATTAATAATAAGTAAAACTAAATGTATGTTGCAGGCGTGTTCTCCATTATCGAATTGATGCGATCCATGTGTATTAAAATATGTATGTTTCCATACATACATTAAATAAAAGCAATTTCATTTGAAATTATATTAAACACTTTTATATTCTTAATTGTTTTAATTCTAATAAATAAATATATATTAAAGTTCGTTTTAATATATGTACACCAACACATACTCTGAGAATTTAAACGGTTGCTACTAATTTTAAGTTATATTCCAGTAAATTCCAACAAAAAAATTTGTTTTTGTTTCTTACCATGCTCTAAATTATAAAATGGGTTTCGTTAAAAAAAAAATATTGCCGCTGGGTAAAATATATACATGTATATAAGGATCTTGGTTTAAATAACTGCCACTAACAATTAGCACACCGCGCACAGCTCTGATACACAAAATCAATGTAACATTACCAAACAAAATAAAGTTTGTTTTAATTTACGCAATTTTCTCAGAACCAAAACCATTACCGTCCGCTCACTTATAAGCTATTTTTGTTACTAACCGCGCAGCAATCAGCATGTACTTCTACAACTGTTTATTGGTTGTCCTGTGACAAACAAACTGTCGACAGTTGGTTTGCGAATTTAACGAAAATTTGACTTGACATCGCCAGATTGCCAGATGCAATAATAATAAATATAATTAGATGTTTGGTCTCTTTTAAATTTTTTGTTGGTTCTGTGATTGCTTTACTAGACAAAACAATATGTTAATAAATTTTTATTTGAAAATCTTTTACCTTATCGGTTTTCAATCGTACACAGATTTGTTCTTGTTAAAATTCATGAATGTATATAAACATGCTTTAAAGAAACGAATTATTGCAAAACGAATTAATATAGGTATGCTTATAATATATCACTTTAAAGTGTAGTGCAAAATGACATTACTGTTGCAATGTGTCATATGTTATGTGTTCGTGAAAAGCAAATCGAGAAAGTGTAAGTACAAAGCGCATATTGATTTCTTAAAGTTTATAGTTGTTACCAAGTTTATGTTTATTAATGCATAATTGTTTTTAAATATAATTTTCTTGGCACCGCTTTCACTTAATTCTTTTTTAATTTACATAAAATAAAAAAAAATAATAATACCTAAATATATTTAATAAGGGCTACATAAGTCATGACTTCGAATTTTGACCACATACACATAGGTATTACGAAAGACCTAATCTGCTAGTTAGTCTTGCAGACATGAGGTTAATATAAAAACAAAAGATTTGTTTTTTTCTCAATTCGGAATAATATATAATAATAATATATAATATAATATATAAATATGTTATATATTCATTAATTCTTTATCTTTTCTTCCTCAATTGGTGGTTAACCCCATCCATATTAATAATTTGCACACTAGGGTTTATTTGTATTTGTATATTGATTGCCACTGATTCTGGATTAACAAAACATTTGTTAATTAAATTTTAGTTAGGCTGTCACTAAATTATTTTAAATAATATAAGTTTCTAAGGTTAACAATACAAAACTATTACGCGCCTATATTAATGTGAATGCACCTTTGTTAATAAACAATCAACAGTATTTCAAAATCGCTTCAATCATAATCAATATGTTTTGTTCTAGTATTAAGCTAAATTAAAAGTAAGAGTTATAAGAACAAAATTATAATAAAAAATTTTATGTGGATGTTATTTAGTACAATTTGTTAATACAATATCGTATATATTTTTTAATGTAATACAATTTAAAACTTATTATTTACACGTTCAAGTTTCTATAGAGTAAATTTATTAGTTATTTGGTACTACTTAATAATTTGATCTATCTATATAGTATCTACATATCATATTGTAACCCTGTTAATATGAGCTTTTTGTGCTTAACGTAAAATAAAACAGAACTTTGTTAATCGTTGAACGGAGTGCTCTAATTTTAAATCTTTGTTTCTTTTCTCAATTTTTTTCGATTGCTGTTGTAACTAGCTCGTGTACTACGATAATCGTCCGTGTGCGGCATATTAAATATTTTTAAAACAAAAATCGTTCAGATTTATTGCGGTTACCTTATAGTTCTTAGTAGCTCCTGAGTCCCTACTAACTCCAAATGCAATACCCAATTCCAGCTTAATATTTTTCTAGCAACATTTGGCCCATAAATATCATATTAATCTTATATATCATACATTTTTTAGTTGCAACTATAATTAAAAATGAAATATAATTAGAAAAAAGGAAATTAACTTGATTTTAATGAAATTGAAACAGATGTATTAGACTCAATGTAATTCCAACTATAGTGTATATCTAATTCAAATGTCGTGCAAAGTACATTAATCGTTTTAAAAAAAATTAGTTTTTTTTTTGGTTTTAGTTAATTAGAATTAAAATTGACATCTCATATTTTGTCGTAGTACTGCCCCTAAGTCAATCGAAGAATTCGTATATATTAAACATGTTTAATTAAAAGTAAATTTATTCTCTTCAATATGTAATAGATTACAAAAAAATGTTAACTTTAGTTTAAAACAACTGTTTAAATGTAATTCACATCGCCAATTGGAACTACCAATAAGAGTACTGCGCACGACTTTGGTTCTAAATTTGCGAAGAAAAATGGCGGCTGCCTCTACACACAAAATGTCGTAAAAGCAAATTTGGTGAAGTAATTTTAATTTATTTTGAATTCGTTACTACTGCATATCAGTTAAAAAAGACTAATGTAGGATTACCAACAGAACAAAGTTCCACATAAGTAAAAAAAAAAAGATCACATACACATGATTGTGTTTAAGAATTTAACTTACAATACTTTACACAATAGCGCGCCTTTTTGTTATCGTTTATTTTGCGAACAACCAACTCGGCTCACTTATAAGCTGTTTTTGTTACTACCCGCGCAGCAATCAGCATGGCGCCTATAACTGTTCATTGGTTGTCGTGTGACAAACAAACTGTCGCTAGATGGTAGACGAAATTAACGAAAATGCGGAAATACCCATGGAAACTTGAACAAAAAAAATTCTCCGCTTAAAGAAAGTGAACTCTGCGTAAAATATATATGTACATGAAACTTGCTTTATTTAGATGTAATTAACATCGTCAAACTACCAATTCAAATTGCGCACGACACTGGTCCAAAATTTTCTAATAAGGCGGAGGCAACGTTTATATACACAATGTCATGAAAAATTTAGTGGAGCACGCCGCACTTGTATTTAAATATGAATTATATATTAAGTAATTTTAATATATTTTTAGCTCGTTACTTACATGCTTCAAAAACCAAAAATCACCAAAAGAAAAACCCACTGTTACAAGAAACTTATACTTTACACAGTAGCACGATTTTTCCTCACGCACCCGTTCACTAACAAACTGTTTTTCTTACTAATCGCAATTATCTTGCAAGACTATAACTGTGCATTGGTTATCCTGTGACAACCAAACTGTTGGTAGTTGGTTTGCGAATTTAACGAAAATATGACGACATCGCCAAATTGCCAAATGCCAAATATATCGATGGAAAGAAAAAATACTTGTAAAGGTATTGTCTGCACAGGAATATAAACGTTTTGGACGTTTAAGCATATAATAGCGGTCGTGTGCGAGTTCGAATAAATTGATTGTAAATTGAGGGAAATAGTAAATTATGTCGGAATGGCAGTAAATGTTGGTATTTACCAGAATTTCGAGTAGGGTAAATTAAGTATTATCATTTTGAAAATTTTATAAGAGGTTTAATACCATAAATAAATTAAATAATTTGAAAACTTTTGACAAAAAAATAATTACTTTTTATATCTTTCTTTCTTTATATTATGAATATTTATGTTTTTAAATATTAGCATCACATTTATTTAATGATAAATACAAATATTTGGCACAAAATTGTTAGTTACTTGATTTCAAAAAGCTAATTGTGAAAATTTATGCTATTGACCCGGCAAGGTTATTTATTATGTATATTTTTGACTCTTATTAAATTTAACTTATTCAATTTTATGATAAGTAATGAAAATGAATCTTAGCAATGTCGCAAAAATGGAAGCAGAAAGAAAGATGTAAGTATTTTATTTATTGACTACAGATTTAACAATACGTTTATAAAATAATTTTTTTTATTTAAAGGGAGCAAAGAGATGGTGGATGCATTCATTGCAGCGCGCATACGGCTAGACAATGTGTTCACTCAGAAACAAACAAATTCCCGAGAATGCTAGAAGTAAGTAATTGAAACGGACACTAAATAAATGTTTTTAACAAAATATTTATTTTATAGGCTAGTTGGTCAGCAATGCGGTGCAAATGATGACTGGAAAGGCTCAAGCAACTTTGGAGTAATTTAATAAAGAAATACAAAGTAAATTAAAAACCTTTTTAATCTATTAGAATATTAATATCTGATTTTTTTAGCAACTTGAAAATCCACCAACGGGTAGTGGCAATAATGGCGCTGACAACGCAATAAATTGGCCATTTTATGGTCAACTTCATGAATATTGCAGTGAGCGCCATATATCAATCCACCACTCCTAATAAACAGCGAAGAGCATAATCCGGACCCACTTGCCACGAATGTAGCATCTACATCAGAAATCACATCGCCAACAAATTCCCAGTATTCCAGTACTCCATTCAGCCGGAGTACATCTAGACAGTCACTCCTGGATTCGGTATAGCGAACAGAGAAGGAGCTGAGGTAGACGGCACGAGTCTTTACTAATTTTATTTCAACTTCATTGCAAGTTGAATACCTACTATCTGATTCTGAGTAAGGGAGCGTCTGTGCACATCAGCTTCTTTTCTGTTTATAATTACCATCCTGTACTGTAAATTTTCAATATTCAATATAAATATAAACAATATTTCATTTTATAAAAATTTAATTTATTTTATGAATGAAATAAAAACATGAAATAAAGAAAACTTTTATTTAAAATTGTACTTATTATAGATGAATTATATGTGTACCACCTATGGTAAGTAATGCATGACTAATAATTGTTGTTCCGGCTCTTTGGTTAAATTTGAAACAAATGCCTTCAATGCGAAATACAAATCAATTAGATCATGTGGTGACACTCTTACAAACAGATGGACAATCTATAGTATTTATCAGGCCTATTCTGAATACTCCCAGGGAACAAAACTCCCTATTCCCACGCTGTTCCCGAACACACAGCTCCCTTATTCTGAATTGCCTGGGAGACAGCAGTTCTGAGAACAACAACAGTTTCAAATTTGTTTTGTTAAATTTTGGCAACTATCACTACGTTTACGCGAGCCTTAAAAGTTGTTTTAAGGCTCTTA